GTGTGTCTGCACAGGCCAGCTTCAAGATGGCTGGCACCTCGCAAAAGAAGTGATTGATTTCATTTAAGTTGCAGTAGGGCAACCTCATCGTGAAGCCTGTATTCAGCATGGCAAAAAAGAAGCCAGATACCCAGAAGCTGATGGCCATCTTGACACAGACTGACCTGCTCATGATGACGGTGTAGCGCAGGGGATGACAAATGGCCACGTACCGATCATAGGCCATTACAGCATACAGGATGCACTCACTTATCCCCAGAGAAAGGAAGACGTACATCTGGGCAACACAGGCAACATAGGAAATGCTTCTCTTTGTGGAGAGGAGGTGGACCAGCATCTGGGGTACAGTGGTGGTCGTGTAGCTGATATCTAGGAAGGAGAGGTTAGCCAGAAAGAAGTACATGGGTGTGTGAAGACGGGAATCACTCTTGACAAGGGCAATGAGGAGGCTGTTCCCAAAGAGGGTCGCCAGGTAGATAGCTAGGAAGAACACAAAGAGCACCAGCTGTGTATTGGGGTGGCTGGAGAGCCCCAGCAGGATGAACTCTGACACTGAGGTTGTATTATCCCAGTTATATTCCTCATCGTTTTCCATCTAAGTACAAAAACAAGTGGGGAAAGAAGCAATCACTCAGCAGGATAAAACATAAAAGGGGCTTTGAATCCTTCAATGGCAATTACACACCCGCGTAACTGCAGATTTTGGCACTTATGCACAGTTTAAAATTCACCTCTGATCTTGCAAGTGTGTACATATCACCTGAACATACTAACTATGCACATTTACAGCAACATATTCTTACCCAGGCATGCACATAGCCTAGGAGGTCCAAAAAAAGTTGGCAGGCAAAAAGCCACGATTAGGGAATAATAGATTGTGCCAAGTTCCTGAAAATAACAAGATATTTAATTCTGAAGGAAAAAAAAAACAAACTAACTACTACTGGAAAATTTCTGACCTACTGTAATCTTGCAGTCTCTCTACTCTCTTAAAAACTTCACTCCCTAATGACATCTCTGCTTTGACAGTCTTAACTCCATTGCTGGGATGGTCAACAACAAGCCAAAGTGGAGCCACTTCCCTGTTCTCCTCAGGGGTCCAGGTCTGCATTGCTCCACCGACACAAACCAGTTGCAAACCTGCCTCAGACACAGCCAACTTATGGATCCCTTGGCACAGCAAAGTGCATCAATGTACTCATCACTTCTCAGTGATTCTGACTCATCATATACTGTTGCAATTGGGCAGAAAAACACCAAAACACAAGAACTTGTTAGAAGGATGTTGAGTACAGCACCGCAATGGTCACGTGGAAACTCAACATAAACCAGACTAGCTGGGTGTTGAGTGAGAGGTGCCCTGATGCAGGACATCTACTCCCCAGGATTCAGGATGGAAAGTCACTCAGTGCCCCTTCACTATCCATCTCCCCTCGTCCTTTCCTGCTGGACTACACCTGTGAACCAGCTCCTCATTACTTATTTGCAAGGGCACAGGAACTCACAAACTGTGCCAAGCTACTGGTCCAGCATGCACGACTGCCTGCCTTCAACTGTGGCCGGTATCAGCTGCATTAGAGGAAGGTACAAGGGGACACTTATGGAGCAACAGTGCCACAAAGAAAGCTAATGCTAAATGCCAGTAGTTGGAGACAGGCTTGTATTCTGTCCCTCACCTTCATTAATACCAATTCTTTGTTTCCCCTTTTACCTTAATGTTCAGTGTCTACACCCCTCATTCTGGTATTTTCATCCCAGCAAAGCTCACAAGAAATTCCACTTACCTTCATTCTCCTCTTGCACCCGAGAGAGCAGGATACTTCCTTTAGCTGCCAAAATCGACGATCAAGATGTACCAAACAATGGATCACCATAAATTAATCCTTCAGGCCAAGGACGAGATAGTCCGTACACATTGCTAAAGCTTTCCTTATTTGTGGAAAACCGTGCCTGGATGACAATCATACATGGCATGTGAAGTAGAAATAGTAATAGTTCTAAAAAGATAAATTAAGCAGAATGCTATTAGACAAGCCAGTCAGTTACAATTCAGTGGCAAGGCATTGCTAAGTACATTGCTGCTTTCTGTTTCAGGAGATTATGAAGTTAATTTGTAACATTGCTCATGATTTTGGTTTGATCGGAATAGAAGCACAATGGGGAGATAGTTAATCACCGTACAAGTCCTCTGCATGTGAATCTAGAGGAAATCTATCCTTCATTTGTTTGTTCTCAGCAAATTTTTGGTTTTTTAATATCTTTTCTTTTCCCAGTACCATGAATCTTATTCAAAATACCACTAAAAAGTGAAGGGGATATCCAGAGGCAACTGCTAAAATGATGACAATTTTCATATAATAAAATATTAAAGGAAAAAAGTGAGACTACTCAAAGAGTGCAGGTATAGAGAGATTCATTCCCTTCTCCATCCCGCTGCTCTTCACATGAACTGAAAAGTTTATGAGTAAATTCAAGAATATTTTCAATTATTTCAAACCTGGTTTTGAATCCTTAAGTCATTTCTTTCAAAAAAGACAGGCACCAAAGGCAAAAGCTACTTGCCACTTTCTAAATAAAACTCTCCGGGGTTTTATTCTCCAACCGTTCAATTAAAACAAAGTCAAAACCAACTTGCAACTATCTCACCTTCTCTAGGGCTTTCCTCTCCAATTGTTCAATTAAAACAAGCAGAAGGTGAAGATGTACACAACGGAGCAAAACATTTTGTTGTTTGCTGAATTTATTTTATTTTTTCCTTCTTGGGGAAAAAAGAGTGGGAATTGATGTGGGGAAGAAATGGCCAGAAGTAATGAGACCTCAAAATATTTAGCGTGGTTTATTTCAATAAGAAGGCAGGTGTGGGAACTGAACTATCATCTCCCACACCTTTGGTTGGGAGGTTGGTTGGCGAGACCAGCAACTATTGGACAAAGCAGGGAAAGGCCTGGATCCAAGTCTGGTCGCCATGTCTGGCCCTATGTTACTCAAAAGACTGAGCTCCGCTTCCTTCCTCTGGAAGCACACAGGCACCGACCTGCAGCAGTCGGCTCTGGGCTGTAAAAGCCAAATGGAGCGAAGGGCTCTCTCTGTATTGAGAGACATGGAGTGGACTTCACAACAGCCAGCACCATGACCTGGGAGCTGATGAGAGCGACCAGCACGGCCGACTCAATACTTTTCTGCCTCTCAACAGCTCTCTGGTCAGGGCTGCCTGTTGCTGATTGCATTCAATGTGTCCTACCCCTCACCAGGTTTTATACAAGGAACCTCCGTTCCTAACCCACGATGTGAAATCCACATTCAATTAATGGCATAATAGGAACCAGCCATAACATTGTTACACATTTTTGTGGCATTATATTGTGGTTCATTCTTTCTTTTATGATGCCTTTCATTTCCTTAACATGCAACTGGGTTACAAGTTAAGACATGATTAACTAGTGAATCATGTCTTAAGTGTAACACATGGCAGAGGCCAAAGTCAGGTGCTTTAGAGCTCAGCATCATGACACCTAAGTCCCTTTCTGGACTTCAGCTTTCTTTCTAAATTTCCCTTTTAAGTAAGTAACTGAGATCTCTGGGCCCTAGAGATGCCAGGCTGCCTCCAGGAACTTCATCCATTCCCACCTCCTGCTTGTCTTCATTCCCTAGTCACCCACATTTAATTTCTGTATGTCTGACACAATATCATAATAAACTTAACAGAATTCTTCAAACTTTCTTCTCCCCTTCCCCATACCGATTTTTCACTGTGGGGAAAAGACTTCTTGGCAAAAGCACTGCTCTCAGTTTGCTGTGTCTTTTTTGTCTTCTGATGAATAGCCCTAAGCCATCATTGCTTACGACCACGCTTCCCACCATGGGTCAGTTGTCAAGGCATTTTCTCACGAAGTGAGAAGCCTGACCCCTCGGCACATGTCAGAATAAGCTGGGAGTCACACACGTGAGGTATGTGATTCTCAAACATATTGATGCCATCAATACATCCCAGATCATTTTCAAGCAGCAATTCTCCTTGTTTTATGACACCTTTTATATGTAATACACCAAGAATGGAATGAAATGAGTGGCCTGGAGGCAGATATTCAAACTAGGGCTTTTTTGAATATCCTCCAGCACTAGAATATTTTTCAGGGATTCACTTCCATATTTGGTAACACCCAGCAGAAATTAAGTTGAAGAGATTTAATTCCACCCCAGGCAACCAGAGGAACTCCACCACAGGTCCTAGCACTAGGCAGGAAACATCTAATGGCAACACAGATCAAGACCTCCCCACAGCAGATGCTGCACATAGATATGCAGCTCCTATTCCAAAGAGCTCGCTGTCTCAACTGACATGATAAGTCCTAGCACGAGCAGGGAAAGAAACACACCATATCTCATAATATATAATATATGGTGAGATATGTCCAATCTGTCAACTCCGCATATCACTGGAGTTCACAGCTCATGGTGGATTCGTTCCCCTAGGCCATAATATGTGAGGAGTGCCATGCACCTGGTTTCCCACAACCAGCCCTAACAGAAGGGACATAAGGAAGCATCGATCAAAAATGACAACCGTGCTTTCATTCCATCTTTGTTTCTGGATAAGTAACTAATGATCAGAAACAATGAAAATACTCATTGGCTGAAGGAAAAAAATCACAGGAGAAATAAAAACCAAGGAATCTTTAAGACTGATGTCCAGCTCATATTATTTCTGCACTGATAAAGCTACATTTGAAAAGATCCTCAACAAATGGATGTCTTCTGTTATTCCTCCATAGTCCTGGATTCCTGGACTTCAAGCATGCTGGTATCAAATGAGCAGAACAAACATTTCACTGTAAGTGAATTTCCTCCTTGAGATTGTGTCTGAGGTGGGGGTTATTCCATGAGAAAATAAAAAAAAAGAGTTGATAGTTCAGGAGAAAGCAGAGACATAGGGACCAAATAAGAGTGGCACATATTCAGACACTTTTAGATAGCTTTCCTTGTGCCATCCTACCACATGGTCCTCAAAAAAGTTCCTGGGTAACCTATTGTGCAATGCTTCCTGGTGAACAGGACACAACTGAGGATTAGATGGCTCAGCTCATTTCAGATACAAGAGAAATCATTTTGGAAAGCTGAGGGAACCACTTACAGAGTTAACCTTTTGTCTCGACCCAAAATTGATTGGGGTGGGCCATCATTTGAAACTGAGTTTAGGGGCTTGGTTAGATCTAACTTACCCAGATGCATCCCAGGGATTTCCAGGGGCAGGTCTGGGTAAATGGATCCTGGCATAGAGGCATGGTGTGCCAGGCACTCCCCAGGTCCCATGCCTCCAAGGCTGGACCTGAATGAGACTTCTAGTCTGGACACATGCCTCTGGAGATCAAAGGGTGTACCTCTGTAAGCAGGGATCCCCAATTTTCCCACATTAAGAGGGTCACCTCTTCAGGGTGGCTGGAGAGTGCCCCCACCACAGAGCTAACAGACATCTCCTGCAATAAAATGACAGAATTTATTACTAACTTTTGTCATGCCACTGATTTCCCCCTGGTCTGGTGCACGGGGCATCTATTTGGTGACCAATGGTGCCACCATTAACATTTTCCTGCAGCAAATGTGATATCAGGCAATGCCTGTTTCTCCCTGAAGTGTTTCAGTGATGCAGATACTAAACAGGAGTTGGGCTTAAGCCTTTCACAAAGAGCTCTTAGCTGAAGGGGAAAACCAAACAACAGAATCCTAGTTCGCTGTATGCACCAAAATGACAGCTAATCAGCCTCCTAACTTCCATTTTTGGGT